AAACGCTACCACCATCTTTTTAAATGAAAAATTCCATAGGCTACATGAAGAAGGATTCACTACCTGGGATCAGAACACAAAATAGGAAAAATTAAGGATACCGTAGTAACAACACAAAAAGGAATAGTTGGAAAGAACAGGAGGGTGCCAAAACAGAAGAGGATGACACAAGAAATTTTGTAATTAATGGAAGAAAGAAGAAAACATAAAAACAATAATGAAGCAGAATGCAAGTCCGTTAAAAACACTATTCGTAACAAAATCCGCGAAGCGAAGGAGAACTGAATGAAGGAAAGGTACAGAGAAATAGAGGACCTGGAGGACCTGGAACGCAAATACGATAGCTTTAACATGCACAAAAAGATAAACGAAGTAGTTGGTATGGGATCGAAAAGAGACTCAGGTTGGACATCGAGAATAAGCTGGAGATCTGGCCAACTTATATAAAGCAGCTTTTCAATGACCAACGCGCAACTGACTAAGAGCTAACAACAACCGAGAACCCATTTCTAATAACAAGAGATGAAATTGAGCACGCTATAGGGATAGCAAAATTTGGCAAATCAGTGGAGGGAGACGATGTGCGTTGTTAGTTTTTGAAATTGCTTTGACGAAGAATTCGATGCAGGTACTCTTAGATCTGTTCAACGACGTATAAAAGAATGGTAATATTCCCCATGATTGGCTTCTGTCTACTTTTCTCCTAATCCCAAAAAATTCCCGACCATCCAAATGTGGTGACCACCGATTCATAAGTATATATGCGAAACTGAAACCTCTGACACGCAATTTAGATTCCGCAATGCGCTTGGAATTCGGGAAGCCATGTTCGCCTTTAACGTTCTTGCTCAGATATGCCTAAACGTCGTTCACGATCTCTAGGTGTGCTTTGTCGATTATAGTAAAGCATTTGATAATGTCAGACATGGAAAACTTGTGGAAATCCTACAAAAACTGAACTATCACGACATGCAGATTATATCAAAACTGTATTTTGGTCAAGCCGCTAAGGTCAGAATAGATAACGCTCTCTCCGAAGAGGGTCAGCATACGAAAGGGTGTCAGACAGGTACCACGCTATTCAACATATACTCGGAGAACATTTTTAGAAATGCCTTGGAAGACGAATCCGCTGGGACAGTAATAAATGGGAGAATCCTTTATAATATTAGGTACGCTGACGACACTGTTTTGTGTCCAGGGTTTCTCGAGGATTTACAGAGACTATTAAACAAAGTAGTGATAGCTAGCAAAGATTACTTACAACAACACTAAAATGGTGGTGATAACAAAAAGAAAGCAAACAACAGGTCAGCTAATCGTAGACGGGAAAACAATTGAATTGAACAAGTAAGACACTACAAATACCTTGGCACCATAATTCTTCATTATTTTTCAACGTTCAACATAAACAGAAAATCCTGGCACGCATTTAATAGGCTAGAAAAGTTTTCATAAAAATGAAAAAACTATTGACAGCTCCGGACCTATCACTATCAGTAAGAACAAAAATGGTCCAATGCTATGTATTTCCCGTGTTGCTTTATGGCTTGGAAGGCTGAACGCTGAATAGAGAAACCACAAGGAGGTTAGAAGTTCTTGAAATGTGAACTTATAGACTCATGCCGAGAGTTTCGTGGATAAGTAGAACTACAAACGAGGAAGTGTTAAAAAACGCAAAAATTGAGCTCCTGGGACATATGTCACACGGTACAAGATACGAGCTGCTGAAACTCATTATGGAGGGCAAAATTGTAGGTAGACGAAGTGTAGGGCGCCGAAGAATCTCTTGGTTGCGCAATCTTCGAGAATGGTTTGGCCTATCGTCAATTAGCCATGATGAAGAGAAGAAGAAGATTCCCTTTGTTTAACAGTTGCATTTCTAACTTGAATCAAAGCGATGGTGTCTCATACTTCCAATAAAAAATAATAATAAAAAAGAAACGAACTCCCTAATAGTAAATATGAAAGTTGAAGAAGGACTCATAGCTATACTATACGTGGTAATATTGCTGCTATATTTGATTGTATGAAATGGGTTATAGTAAGCGTTTCTAGTATGCCTCTTCTCACTTTACACATCAAAGTAGTCCAAATTGAATCAAATTTCCGCAATCCCTGCAACTTCAACAAACTGTATTTGTTTTTTCAGCTCCAAGTTAATCAATAAACAATTGTATTAAACAGCTCATAATTTAAGTGTAATACCGGTCGATAAATAATCTTTATACATACGCTGTATCATCAGTAAAGTGACGAGAAATAATTATTGGTTTGGGGACATCGAATGTATATAGAACAACAGAGGTCCCAAAATGTGCCCTGATGAACCCTTCTTGTAACACCCGCCCTAACTTTACCTTCTAACTGGGCCTCAAAAACAAATTTTCAAAAAAAATCGATAAAATTAATGCTTTTGCTGATTTTATAATATAAATGATGTATTTACTGTAATATAAAATCATAAAAAGGCAAAGTTGAGGCTTAGCTTCTTTAACCTGTTTTATCTTAATCCAGCCCAACCCAAGTTTAAGTCTGCCTTATGAGAGAGATAAGTCGATATGATTCTTAAAAAGACACATAATCCAACCTTTCAGTTTTAGCCGATTTAAAGAAAAATAATATATTCGTTTAGTACGAAAGCGCCTGAAGGTCACCAAAAATAAAATATAGATTTTAGTTTAACAAGGCGAGTTTTGAGGAATAAGTCCAAATTTGTAAAAAACAAACTAATTTTTACTTCACCTAATTTTTATGTTCATCAGTGAAATTTTTTGACATGTTGAAAACAATTTCAGCAGCTCTTTTTCTTCAATTTTATATTTGTCATACTAATTTCCGTATGCGTGGGGGCAACTTCCAGCTGTTTCGATTTCTAGTAGCATTTCGAGCAGCCAATCTTGAATTTCGGCTTTTTTCCGTGAGGTCATTGGGTATCTAAATTTGATAGGTAAATTGGGAATTAACTACTCCTCAAACCATATCCTGCATGGACCAGAACTAAATGTGAGAATTTTTTTTAAAGTGATATAAGACCTGTTGTTACTTATTTTACAAACAAATTCTTAGTCCTTGTATATTATCGATCATTTTTTGGGCTGAACCGACTCTGTATTCTCATAGACTATAGACATCAAAATAAACCTAAAAAAAAACTTCATAAAATAAAAAAAATGCTGTTTGAAAGACAATTTAATATGCTTTAATACGAGTTTAAATTGATTAAAATTTGTTTCTGCTTTTTAGGTTTGGCATAGTGAAATAACTCCACGAGTCAAATTAACTTTTTTTATTACTAAAAACAAATAGGCTTATAGCAACTCAACACTAGACAACATTAGGCAAGTTCGCTATTGTTTCTTGTGGAATGTTAAGCCTACTGCAACAATAACCTCTGGGATCCAGGTTGCGGTACGAAGTCTAGCTCGAATTCTCCGTTTTAGCTCATCCCATAAATGTTCGATCGGATTGAGGTCGGGACTGCATGCATGCTGGTCACTCCATAACTCGAAAATCGACTTCTGTAATGTAATCTTGAACGATCCTTGTGGCCTAGCATTGTCATGCACAAAAATGTATTCTTCTCCAATGTAGTCGACATATGCTAACACGTGATCTGATAAAATATACTCGATGTACTTATGCACCTGTTAAACCTCCTTGACCACGACCACCCCTACGGATGAAAACAGGGTCGGTTCATCCCATATCATGCAGAAACCACCTCCATAAGCATTCCACTCTTCATTGCAGCAATCTGCAAATCGCTCTCCTGGTCTTCGGTACACTGTTTTCGTCGGCCACAAAGGCATATTCTGGTCTCATCTGAGAACAGAACAGAGCCCCATTGGTCCAATGTCCAACTGAACGATTCCGTTCAAAGCGTAGGTGTGCTTGTCGATGAGCTGGAGTAAGTTTTGGACCAATTGCAGTTGTTTTTGGGGTCAGGTTATTTTCCTTTAGCCTTGTTCTCACTATCCACTGACTAATAGCCACTCTTCGAACTTCACGGAGCTGTTTTTGCTGTTTGAGCCGTATTAAGGTAACGATTTATTATTATTATTGACACAGTAAAGCGATTGTCATAAGCCGTTATAATTCGGTTTCTGCCTGGGTCTTTTGCTAGGCGCCCTTCAAACTGTTGTCGAGCAAAAGCTCGCTGGCGAAGTGCACTTTCGATTAAAGCGATAATTTGAGCGGGTTTTGGCTGTGTACTATGCATCTAGCTGACACAATTAAACGCATAATGTGAAAATTCCAGTTGCAAAAACGATTAATTGAAGTTTGTTACTATCACTGTAACTACTGCATGAACACGTTTCATTTGTTTAACCGTAACTACGCATAAAAAAGATCAGCACTCTTGACAAATTTAAACTCAAACTAAAGCATATTAAATCCAAATAATATGCTTATTTTTTGGGTCAGATAAATAGTTCCTAAAAAAAATACTAAAATAAAAAATTTACAATGGGCCGATTTATACACACGCAAGTTTATTATGAAAAATTTTTATTTGATTTAAAGATCCTTCCATTTCTATTACCAAAAGTGCTTCTGTTAAATGTTGCTATTTATTGCTCCCCGCACTTTGTCATCTTATATGTATGTATAAAAAAAACACTTTGATTTTTTTTTAAATGCTGATTAGGCAAAAACTGAAATAATTAAACTGCCTAAACTTTTCTTTGAAAAAATTAAACATTCTTTCAAATTTTTATATTTATGTTTCAATCACAACTCGACAAATAAAAAATATTAGTTTCAAATTCGAAATTGTAACGTCATAAAACCTATAAAACTGCCAATTTTTATTATTCCATTATAAACAGTTTTTTACGAGAGACTAATAACCGAAATTGGTAATTATTTTCAGAAATTCTGATTTTAGTTGGAAATTTTGACTTATTGCTCGAAAATTTTCAATTATTAAATTAAAAAAATAATAGTAAAATTTATCTTGCATTCTTGCATACTCAAAGTTTTCTGTCTGTCGCCAGGAGTTCATTTTTCCCCGGTGGTGGACGAGATGAAGTGGCGAGACGACAACAGCATCTCGACGGCGACTCCCGAACGTGAGTCGTCCTATTCGCTGGATAGTTCCTCGCCCGAACCCTTACGAAACGTCGACGTCGACGTTGTCAAACTTGTCAAACCCAAACCGAGATATGGCAACGGCGCGACAAGAAGAAGCGTGTCGCAACCCGACCTCAGCGACACCGAGGCGCACATTTACAAGCAGGAATTCATCGACTCACTGCACAGCCTGCGCCAGCAGGACTTGGGGCTTAGCAAAAGCCAGCCCGAAATAAGCAAGTTCAAGCGGCGAGGTAAGCAGCGAGCGTTAGTGAGCGCGCCTCGTACTGCATTTAGTAATGTACGGTGCGACATAGAAATTTCAACACCCAGTTTTGTTAATATTTTGGGAAGCGGTTAAGGAAGATATGAAATTCAACCATCGATGTCGTTTTGTAAGTTTTGACTTCGGGACATGCTGCTAATCAGATATCTTCCCTCTGGTGGTTTTGTCAGAGATAGACGTTGTATTTCTAAATGAAACCTCTTATCCCAGAACCTGTAAGAAATATCAGGAAACTGGATATACTCATGCGGGGTGTTCTTTCTCTAAGAATTATATCTCCAAAACTTCTAAAGTTGAAATTATAAAATTTATTATCTGGGGGTTTTTGAACACGTAGAATTCGAAAATTCTAACGGCAGTGTTGTCAGATTTAGCACTGTTAATAAAAAAATTCTTGACATCTCAGAATTTTGAAGGTTTTTTGAACATAGAAAACTTTAGAGGTGTGTCTGTTAAGGGTAATCGTGATTATACATGTCATCGCGAAATTTTGTATTCTGCATGTTCACCTACCGTTTCCGATATATTTTGAATTTTATGTCAAAAGTAATATTTAAAAGCCTTTCAGATTTCTTTTTATTATAAAAGTTTATCTACTTTAGGTGTCTGTGTTTAAAAACATTTTGTTTTTGAAAAAATAAATAAAAACGGTTGCTAATACAAAATGGCGTCCAACTTTTTATATGTTTTAGCATTTAGCATGGTGCACATTTTAATAAAGATTAAAAAATTGCAGACAAATCGTTTTTATTTATTTTTTGAAACTTAAAAACAAAAAATATAGTTTTAATTGCCTAATTATAAAAATATATAACTATTCATTAGATTGCCTACTGTGAAGCCTCTAGAATTAATATATTTTTTTAATTACATTAAAAGAAACCCCTTATTACCGTAAATAAAATTGTCAAATTTTATCAAAATCCGAAAAAACCAAATCAAGAAAACAATCAAGTTAGGACATATTTGTATGGGAAAAAATGATATTTTTACTTGTAACACCGATCTTAGACGGTTCAACCCTGAATAAATTTATGATTTCCAAAGCATTATAAATATAGCTAAGCATATACTGACTGGGCGCTGAAGTTTCTATGGCAAGTGGTATATATTCAAATAGAATAGAAAATAATTATATTAGATAAGAAACATTAAGATCTGGCAGATCAACTTCAAACTTCATTTGGAAGGTGTGGTAATGGCCTTTTAGGGAAAATTATCCACGATACTCTTAATGAGCGGATTATATTACGATTACAAAAGGTTCGAAAAAAGTTTTAAGTTACTATACCTTATTATGATCCCGTATCCGATACGGGGTCCTAATTTTGAAATTTTTTATGCGTCACTAATTGCGATTTTCTTGTTTAAGCTCTTTTTCATTTTTTCGCGTAGACTTTGGAAAAGATTCAGGACTCCTACTCGGGATGTCTTTGCTAGAGAGTAACTGCACTAAGGAATAACTTGTAAAAAAAGTGGTCCACAACAGCGGCGTGGAAAAAGGGGTTTATGAAATGCGACAGGATTTTATTTGAATTTTTTTTTTCACCTAAAAGATGTATACGATCAATAGTTTTATTTTATTAGTATGCCCCCTCCCTTTATAGCCTCATAAATTTGTGTGCCGCTGGTTTTGGCCATTTGCACTACAAGAATATATAAATGTATTTTAATTTATTTCAATTTTAAATTAAAATTTGGGTTTCATACAATGGTGATAAAAACCTAATGAGTCAAGCAAAAAAAAATACTCTCCATCTTTCCCAAATGCTTCGCGAAATATTGATTTTTTTTTGTTTACGAGAAGGTATTAATTTTTTTTTAAATCGATACCTTTCATGCGCAAGCCAAAGGAAGACTAAAAAATAAGGCATAGAAATATCAAAGTTATAGGTGGGCAAAATTGGAAAACTTGGTGTCCAGCTTCATCTTCATCAGTTTATATTGATGATATTATCACATATGCACTTGAAAAGTTCACTTTGATACCTTGTAGAATGAAAAGAAAGTGACATGAGAAAAGTTTCACTATTTTAATCAAAAAACAGATTGACCCACTTTTTTGTAAACCCTGTTTCTTAAACACCAAAAATATGATCTTCCAATATATAACCGTCTCCCTTCAATGGCTTTCCTTAAAATGCCATTACTTTCCGTTAAAATAAGAGGAGGTATTTCATATTGTTCATTTTCGTGTCGTAATACAGATCGCGGTCACTAAAATGCAAAATGCATTATTTTCGTATTTTAAAATATACGCGTATGGGTGTTCAAATTGATGTGCGATTTTATGCGAGTCGCGGAAATTGTTTTATGTGAATGAAAATATCGTAAATCGGTAATGGCTTTTGGCGCCGTTTTGGAGATTTCATTTTTTTTTGGCGCGCTTTCAAAGAATGGTGCGTTATTTTATTTGTGTTCTATACTCCGCCGTTGAGTCGTTTAATGTTGCGATTCTATTATTTTTGTTTAGAAATCAAACATACATGTGTTGACATTGAGAGAGTTTATTCTCAACCAAAAAAATACACTTGGTGTTTTCATTAAGGCCTTGTACTAGTCTGTTTGAACTTTTTCTGAGAGATTCCACCTGAGCTGTTGTTTTTCTCTGCCGTAATAATTTGCACTCACTGATAGTAAAGAATCATTGGAAATGAATGTCGCCATTTTATGACTAATCTTTTAATAGTGTGAACGCTACAGCTTAACATCAAATACTGGTGCGTTGAACTAAGCAAACTTATAAAGAACTTTTTATCTCACTAGCCTAAAATTAATCGATAATGTTTCTAGTCATACAGATAGCAGATGGGGGTGTACCGCAGGGAAGCGTATTGAGTCCGCTTTTATTTATATAAATGGCATGTATCAGGTTTTAAAAAACTCATTTGTTAACTTATTTGAAGATGTCAAAGAAATAGGTACCAAACTGAATACCGAAACGTAGTATTTGTATGAATGGCTCTGGCAAAATAAACTGAAATTAAATTGCTCCATCGATTCTGAAAAAAAATCCATGACTCGGGGTATTCAGTGGATATACAGGGTAATTATTTAATATTTGTTTCCGCAAATTAAATATTTGGGAGTGATCTTAGATCCCCAAGTATGTTTTAGTAATTATGAAGAAAGTAAGGTTTTTGAACCGTGTATCGCTGTTTTTATCACAGTGGACTAAGACATTAGCGTATAATAGTATAATTTTGCTTCATATTTCGCATGTTTGTTCATTGCTTGTACAAAAGATTTAAATAAGTTACAGTTACAACAAAATAGGAATCATACTGAACTGTGATAGATATACTCATATAAAGAGTATGTTAGACCTGCTAAATTGGCTAATTGTCGGGTAGTTCATGGTTTATGGAATTGCGCACGATCGCCAACCAGACTGTCTCAAATTATGGTTGAAAAAAAGGTTAAATTTTTATGGCATTCCAATCAGCACTTCAATTTTTCTATAGTAAAAACTACAAATTTACAGAAAACTCTATTCTACGATGGTGTTCATAAACCGCGCCTTGCGTAAGGGTAAGGGTATTCAAGGAAAGCCTTGCAGGCTATTTGCGAAGTTCATGGTTTTTATGTAAATTAGCATATGTAAATATATGCTAAATAAATTTTATTATTATTATTATTATATAATGAGGTAAGTTGTCCAAAATGTCAAAAAATTTAATTTGTGGGGTCTAATTTGATTGGTCATCCTATTATGTTGACAAACAGCTTTATTTTTTGATTTGTTTACGAATGTGAATTATCGGATCGTATGACCAGGCGGTTACATTTTGCAACAGAAACCGATTACTTGTTTGCATTTGTACGTTTCCCACATTCGTTATTGTCTAGCGGTGCCCTTGGAGCCCCGTAACTGTTCTCATAAATTACACGCAATTGACAGCAATTTTTGTGTCACCACTCAGACCAGCAGATGTAATTTCAAGTCGTCGCGTCGCGCACGTTTTTCAATAATACCGAACCGGCAATTGGTCTCAGAGAGGGCATCCGAACAAAAGGCGACTGCATCGTGATTTGTCTTAAGGCAGTTGACGAAAATCCAGACCGTAGATATTATTATGAAAACGAAAGCTTGGCTTATTAACCCTCGTGATGGAACATCTGAAAAATCTGTGCACTAAAATCTAGATGACAACATAAGCACAATCTCAAAAAGTGTTGTATCTTATTTTTGCTTGCCTTGTACACAGGGTGTTTTCTAATTGAATGCCAATAATTAGGGGGAAATTTTTGGGTCTATTTTAAAAAGAAAACTTCATATGAACATATATCCTAAACGTCTTAAACTGGCAAAGTTTTCAAAAATAAAATATATTTTTTTACACTACTTACATCTACTATGTACCACATTTTTTTAAAAATACACCTGTGGCGGACGTACGGAATTTCACACATCTATTCTGGCAGACATTGAGGCTACGCCACTGATTTCTCTTAAAATAAAAATTATTCTTACAATCTCCAATCATTTCTAAAGAATTTTAATTTCTTGATTTTTTTCAATTCGATTAACGGTTTTCGCTTTAAAAAAATAAAAACTTCTCTACATGGTCATAACAATATTGTTAATATGGTAGCATGCAGAGAAATTAGTTTTTATTTTTAAATAAAAACCGTGCGACAGACTAAAAAAAATTAAGAGATCTAATCTGCTCTGAATGAATGCAAATGTCACGCGCCACTGACTGTCTAAGAATAAATAATATTTTGGTTAATTAGGTCGCCATTGCACTGGCAAAATTGAGAACTTTTTTGTGATAAATAAAATTTCTATCTAAAACAAAATATCTAGTTTTTAGTTACCAACTAGTGTCCTTCAGTTCTTTTTACTTTTACAGTTTTAATGAAATAACATAACAAGATAAATAACAAACGATTCTTATTTAGAAAAAAACACTGCGTACTATTGCTTTTTACAAAACTTCTGGATTCCTCCTGCGTCGGTTTTTGCTTAGTCGAAATTGCTGACGTTTCGCCAATCATCATGTTGCAGTGGTTGACTGAAACTGGCTCGTATTTTACTCTGTACCTGGTTATATATTGTTTATTTGTTGTTACAGAGCCGTAAAACTATTTCAGCCAGAGTTACTGAATTACAGAATTAGAACACCTTACCTCTGATCTTCTTTCTAATAATATCCACATTAAAGATATTAAACGTTCCATCAAAAAATACTCTTCACCACAATCTTTCAATAGCAATGAGGCCGAAAGCAATCTTACACTTGCCACTGTGGTCCTTCCTTACATTCAAAACATCACGGACCACATATCAAAAGTTCTAAAGAAGCATAACGTCAAAACTAGATTTACCACTTGTCCATTTGAGACGCCAGGAGTTTACAGCATTCCATGCATATGCGGTAAAGAATACATTGGAGAGACCGGACCAAAAATATCAACTAGGCTCAAAGAATACGAAAGAGCCTTACGACTAAGACAAATAAACTCATCAGCTGTTGCCGAACACACTCATGAAACCGGGCATAAAATTTTATTTGATAAAAGTAAAATTCTTCCATGTAATCAGTTCTTCTACCGACGAAAAATCCAAGAGTCTATAGAAATCTATAAACAACCTAACAATCTAAATCGCGGTTCAGGTCTCTACCTGTCATCCGAGACGGTGTTTATACCTCTCATTAGCGCCCCACCCCCCTCAAATAATATATAAGCAGGTACAGAGTAAAATATGAGCCAGTATCAGTCAAGCTCTGAAGAAGCCAACAGGATGATTGGCGAAACCTCAGCAATTTCGGCTAAGCAAAAACCGACGCAAGAGGAATCCAGAAGTTTTGTAAAAAGTATTACAGTAGCCTATGGAAGTTTCTTTGAAAAACTACCTAGTACTAGCAATTTTTAACAAAATTATTTTGAAAAAAATGTAGAACATAGAAACTAGATAAGTTGTTGAAATTGTCGTCCGCCTTGATGGATACACGCTTCAGCAAATTTTTAATTTTGCATCCTAACAATCTTTATAACCAACGACATAAGGAACTTTACTCTGTCGTTGATTTCCCATGTACATTTCCATAAGTGGTTTGAATTAAAGTTCATATGAAAATTTAGCCATTATTGTAAGAAATAACCAAAGAGATGTTGTGAGCCTTAATTATTTGTTGCAATCCTCCGAAATGTTGTGGTGTATTTTTGTATTTTCAATATTTTATTTGACCCTACAAAAAAGTCACGTGGATTTATTTCAAGAGATCTAGGGAACCATTCCGTTGTTATTAATTAAAAATGTCAATGAAATGCTAGGTCAGTACTGCCGAAGTGTATGAAGTTGGACATGGAAACAGTAGTTTAAAGTACGTTTTTAAATAACACGTTTCATTATAAAAATCGTGCACTTTTATACCTAGTAACAAAACACCCAACGGCACAGTTATTTTTAATAAAAATTAAATTAAAATGAAATATTCCTCCGAGGCACATGAACGACCAAAAATTAGAGGCCCATAGTCTGAAATTGCAGTATGCGTAGTTAGTAACCGAGAAAAAGAAAAAAAATCTGAAAATTTATTGGGTATTCAATGTAATAAAATTATCTTTTTAGTTTATTGGCATTTTTCTCAATTTCTTTTTACATATTTCTTTAAAGAAATTATTACTTACATAAAGGTGTAAAAAATGCTTAAATAGCTAGAATGCTACATGCCAATATAAAAAATTGAAAAGTCCTGATCATCAATTTTTTCACTTTAACTCTCAATAAATTTAGAGGCATCCTCTATTTGTGAATGTGTAGTATTCAGCTCTCAATTTTCTTGCTAACAGCAGTTCTAGAACAGTCTAAACACTTGGCGTGGTCTGAGGGTTACAAAGTATGCGCGAAGCACCTTCTCGAGCAGGCATTCAATTATTCTTGAAATCACCGAAACAATTAAGAAAATCCCTAGTTGGTTACTGTACGCATCGCAACTTTATAAAATATGCGAAGTACACCAGATTCTAGAGAGTTGTTTATTATTTCACTAACTGGTACTTGAAATGGATTACTCAGATGTCTTTGTAATAATAATAATACTTAAGGTTTGTACAAAAATAGACTTCTCTAGGAAGCGAAGTGTACTACAACCATTCTGGTAAAATTGTGAATGCGGAGTGTGAGAAAATATTTTTATGTTTTTGGAATTTATAAAACTTCATTGCGGTTTTAGTAGTGACAATTTTAAACAAAAACCAAAAGATTAATACATAGCCAAATAAGAATAAATGAATTACAAAAATTTGTCTTTGAAATCATTCTGGTCCAAATAATGTGTTTACCGCTATCCCGGAAACAACAACCTTTTCGGATATTTGAAACAATTGGATTTATATCAACGTTATTTTCTCGTCTCTCGAAAGATTTTATTGCATTTTTTAACCCTATGTAAAGTGGATGCAGAGCGAATGACATAAATTTTTTGTTAAATTTGACTTAGGTATCAATGAAGTGCTTTCACAGATAAATGACTCTATCTTATTGGGTAAACAGGCACTTAGCAAACTGTAAATTACGAATTTAATTGCAATTGCAATCTATATTGCCTATTCGTAACCTCTATACAAAACATTTAACGCCCGATCAAGAAAGCAACCCTCAAACAAGTAAGTGCCTACCAACTAAGCTCTCTTTTTTAATGCCAGGTGTTTAAAATCAGAATTACTTTTTAGTTTACTTTTCAATTGTAGTTTCTGAATTTGTTGCTGAAACGGATTATTAAAGCTTTATTTTCTTAAAATGAGAAATTATTATTCTCAATGTGTTCAAGGCTCTTCGCCTCAACATTTGGACTTGTGCACGATGATAAACGCTACCCCATCGAACCACCAAAAGAAGTACAGGAAGAAAAGAAAACCTATTTTCATATTATTCTTACATCTCAATAAGTTTTTATTTCATCTCATATATAATTGTTGTTATTTTTATTATTCTAATAAACTATCTATAGTAACGCCGCTGTTACATTACTTTCATTCATCAAAATCATCTTTCTGTTATGCAAATTGCTTTATTACCATCTCGTATTAAGAAACGAAATATAGACATAATATTCACTGTTTCTGGGAAAGAAGATGCGAATCGCGGGAAAGATATACGCGAAACTACAATCTTGTTAAGTTTAAAACGACAAACTTAATTTAAAAAAATGGATTTCCATAGAACTTCCCTTTGTTCATCGGGTGTTTTGCTCGCTGCTGCTTCGAACAGTTTTGGAATGTTGAAACTATATTTTTTTTTCCGGTCTCTTAGGAGAACTGATTTTGAATGATCCCTTGCGTTAAAGAACAGAAAAAAACAACCAAATCAATACAATACTGAGAGGAAAAATTGACCTAAAGGATTATACAAAAATCGGTTGCACAGGCGGAGACATAGCACAACCCCGTTTTTGAATAAACGAAACAATGAGAGAATAAGGTGACAAAAGCTATATATTATAAATAATAAATATATGCGCGGACAAATACAAAGAGAGATCTACTCTTTGCATTTAACATGAGATGACCACTAATGATGACAATAATAATCATAATAATAAGCAAGTTGTTGGTTTGTTGTTGCATGTCCATTAATGTTGAATTGCAAATAGGGCGAGCAATGAATTCCATATGCTAACCTTACCTAACTCCTATCAAGTATATCCGCTCAAGAAAAGACAGAATGAGGCTACCGCATAAATAGTATTTAGTTTTTGATGGCAGAGATCGTTTCATACTGTAGAGTTATGTAAAGGCGCATATAAACAATTGTGAGTTTTTTGTTCAGTTACGACTGCATATTAAAATTTTTGTGGAACGCGAGCCATTATTTATGGAAGGCTTAAGTTTCTCACCGATTTTCTTTCAATATCAGTGTACAGTAGGATCAAAGATTGGTCGTGTAGAAGGCGTGGTCACTTAAAAGGAAATGACTGAATTTAAACCAACCGCTGACATAATACAACTAACTAAAAATAAATTTAACTAAAAGGTACATAATATTTAATAACTTTTTAACTTTTCGTGTACAACTTACTATATTGTAATATGTCAACACGTTGTATTCACTTACATTTCATGTGATCATATATGCATATGAATAGACAATTACATTACCTGACAATACAGTCGTTACCTTTTAAAATAGTCTTAGTAGCCATATCATAATTGTTCAAATTAAAAAGAAAGGTTTCTAAGTCTCTCAAACTTGGACAAGCGTCGGGAGCACATGAACTTGTATTACCTATTCAATACAATTCATGATGATCAGCTCTCTACTCTCTGTGACTGCATTGATCTCAATTAATGAAGTGCCTTTGCGATCACTCAAAGCCCTCATTCGGCGGTCAATAAAAGATAACACTTTGTTCCAGGCTCGCAGCTGATCAAAAGAGACAAGGACGGCTGCACGATCAAGGCCTACGTGGACGTCGACGGCGTCCAGTACCAGCACACCCACCTAGATCTGCCAGGCGGCGCGCCTACGGGCACCAAGCCCGACGCCGCCGCCGGGAGCGACGCCAAAAGCAGATTCCCCTCCATCGTATCGCCGTCGTCGTCGGTCGTCAGCGTACCGCACAACTTCGTCGCGGTAGAACATCAACAGTCGAAGCAGGCGTGTGTCGGCAAACAGACGAAAGGTGACGGCGCGGTCATGTCTGCTGGTGCGCGATCGTCGAAGAAGAAAGGCCTGGGCGGTTTCCTCCAGCGTTTGGCCAGTTTCCGATTGGGCGTGAAGAAAGGGCAGGAGCAGAAGGAGAAGCTGAAGCGGAAAAAGAACGCGGCGACGCAGCAAGGCAACGGCGCGGCACCCCTAGGGTTGGCGGGTGAGTTAACTGTTTGACTGGAGGTGGGATCATCGAGTGTAGAGGCTCGCGTAGGTGTTAAATAACGTAACTGGATACTTTTCGAAATATATCTTTACTTCTTTAGACGGGAAAACAACACCATGAGGACATTACATATCGCGCGATTGGGGCGCATGTACCTGCTCATCTTAACCCAGCCTATTCCATAAATACCGTAGGGTAAAGTGCATTCTACACTCTACATTTTCCCATTTTACTAAAACGACAACTTACTTTCACAAGTCTGACTTCTGTTGAAGTTTAATAACCCGCAGCTTAAGGTTTTATTATAAAGGGTTTATACAAGTAGTAGCAAAAGGCAGTACATACAGGGTGGCCGGTTTAAGAGGGGCATATATCTTATCTCGAAATTTATGAGTGTTATTAAAAAAAAGGTTGAATACAAAAGTTATTTGTAAAATGATTTTTTTTGGATTATTTCAATTGTGGCTGTAATACTTTTTACAAAACTTCTGGATTCATCCTGAGTCGGTTTTTGTTGAGTCGAACTTGCTAACGTTTCGCCAATTATCCTGTTGCTTCTTCAATCAGTTTCAGTCAAGCACTGAAGAAGGATGATTGGCGAAACGTTAGCAAGTTCGACTCAACAAAAACCAAGACGCGGGAGGAATCTAGATGTTTTGTAAAAAGTCCATAGGTTATGTTATATTAACGTTTAAAACATTTTTCTGAGAAACGCATTTTAGAAAATAAATCCTTTTCTCAGACAATATTCAAAATTGAAATATTTTTATCAACTGCGCAGTGTTTCGTTGTTTTACAAAATGTTACTTCTCTCAATTTTTGTAAAATAACCACCCTGTATATTTTCCAATGTATTGACGATTTTTAACAATTCCCAGGCAATATTAACGTAATTAATTACATTTCTTAGATTTCTGACTTAATTCTGAAAGCGTTTCTAATTTGTTTTTTATAAAATTTGTTTGATTGAAATATTATTAAATATAATAAAAAATACTTATTAAAAAATAAATATGTTGAATAAATATTATTTCATTTAATCATTTTATTTCAATTTGATTCATTTTAATTCGATCATGCATCGATATTTACATTACAGCAACATAACATGATCTGAAAATAAACTTTGCGAATTTGAGATAAATATTCCCGAAATCGAACATCCAAAATAAATGTGACAACAAGATGAAGCTTCTTTTAAATGGATATTTTACACAATGGACACCTTGACACAAAGTGACACCAGCAAGGAGCCCGTACTCAAATCCACTGGACTTCTTGTGGGGGCACTTTAAAAGAGATAGTATAGAAAAACAAGTCCATAGAAGTTGTGTTAGAACAACTAATTCCGGATGCAATGAAATGCGACCAATTATATATTAAATCCCACAAATCATTTGGAGGTAATTGCATTATTCAAAATGGTGGACATGTGGAAAATTTTATATAAAGTTGTTAATTTTATTTTTGATAAAATAAAATGATCTATCATTTTGACAGTATTTTAAATAAATGATAATTGTTACTGCAATTTCATAAATAAATACGAGAGATGCTTTGAAAATTATTGTTAATTGCCTTAATATTGCCTCGGAATTGGGAGGGAGGATGCGTGTTCTAGTAAGGTGGATGTTTTTGGGGGGGGGGGTTATTTTTCAGTGTTGTCCAAAATATCAGGTTGAGTTGCAAGTATCTTCTGTCTTAAAGCTTCCAACGGGTAGTTTCTGTTTTGTTGGGGAATGAAGGTGTTTCGACAGGTAGGGCATAACTTATTGTAACCACAACTTGGCAGCTTATTGTAACAACTTAAACAGATAGAATGGCCCGTATTGCAATTGATGATTTTATCATATTTCATTAACTGCAAACAAACTGGACATTGGAGACAGCTTAACAGCAAATCTTTCATTAGCCCTCGACCGTTTGACTTATTATTATTATTATTATTATTAAAAATATTGAATTTTATTTTCATATCTTTAAAATTATTACTCTTAAATAAATCGGCAAGGGATTTCTTCTTCCAAGCAAACTTTTTCAAGTTCATCAAGAAGATTTGTTTTCCCTGAAAATTTTTGCTAAACGATAGATCCCGAAGCTCAAAAGTATGTACATTAAAATCGAGCGTCACCGAAAATCTATACTGCAAGTTGTCGTTCAAAAGAGCCGCGCCGATGGCTATGATAACGTCATCGATAAAAATGCCAACTACGAAAGTGTTGTTATCGAATTCGCTTAAAAATATTGTTGAACTATCGGGTAATGACAGCTCGAAGCATCCAGATTTAAAGATTTTATGCTTTTGGCTGAAATGCTGACCAACTCTTCGCACTTCCATAACATCATTGCATTCCAAATTTGGACAGACGATGGGTCGAAATTCGCATACTTCTTCGTGGGCGAGGACCTGTTCCCATTTTAGTCGTTCATTACAATTTTTGGATAAACTGCACGGAAACTGTTGAATATTAGCCAATTTTTCGTACGTTTTGTTTCTGAGATACGTGTTATCATCTAAAATAGTACATCTTCCGCAAATATCTTCGCCATCAACTGACGTATAGATCGGAGAAACCGACAGATACTTCTGGCAGAGAAAGCACCTCAAGTCCTCGAAGCTGACCAACGCTATAATTCCAGAAAAATGTTTGCATCAACACTGTCATACGTTTTATAAGAATTGAAATAAGTTACTTGCGAAAAGTTACAATGGGATTTCCCGTAGAAGTTGTATCACGTTCAATGCACCATTAAAAAATAGAAATTACGAAAAAATAAAAAAAAAAGATATTAGATAATAGAATTATTTATTACTATATGTTTAAGAAATACTCAGGCAAAATGGCAGTGTTTTGTCGATTTATTGTTACATCAAATTTATAACTTATATAGAGTGTAATTTTAAATTTTAAAAGCGAGGTTTGTATACGAAATTATCTCAAAAATCTCAGTTTATTAATCAAAAGAAAATATACGCCAATTTATCAATTATCGGTTAATCTATAGACGGATAATTTTTTTTATTATCTGTATCTGGTTTATTTTAAGTGTTTGCACTCTTTGTTGCTCTGTTTCGTTGACATTGGGTTAACTTTATTTTTCATTATATTGATAAAAATTGACTACGGAAAATCTAACTGATTAACATTAGAGACCTCTTTTAAGTCTTCATAATTGTTGGTCGGTTGAGTAGTTGCCTTTATACGGAGTATCTCATAAGTTGGTTGGTTAGTTCTTTTTGTTTACAATACAAGAAATTGCCACCTTGTAGAAAATAATGAGATTAATTTTTAACAAGTACAGCGAAATATTAAGGAACTTACTGTAAAATGTCCTCAGAAATGCGAAAATGAAATAGTATTACGCGTAATCCATGTAATATAATAAGGTAGGTCGCATCACTTTCATACAAGCAACCTTTTGTATCTAAAATTGTTGCACTTATAAAGCCTCCTATAAGCACTTGGAGTGAATCACAACGTAATAGATTACCCATTGAGGTTTAAATCACAATTTAATTATTAGGTCTATATTAAAGGGAACTTATTGCAAGCTTTTAAAATATATTTTAGGAATAAAAAAAAAGTTTACAAAAATTTACACGTCATTCAAATGTTGTCGGTAAATAGGGCGTTTGTTAGAGTAAACAAAAAAGAAAATAGTAATATAAATGAATTTAAAAGGCAACAGTCCTATTCTTTATATAAAAACCAATCATTTTATTTTACCAGTTTCAACCCAAAATTTTCTGAACAAGTTAAGCAGTATGGTATCCTAAGAGTTCAAAACTTTGGACTGTAACAGTATTTGCCTGTGCCAGAAGTCTAACTTTCCTAGCTCTTCGATTAAATTTTGTCAATGTTATTGTTATTAACGGTTAAAGCAATAAATCTATTTACTATTATTATTGCCTTTTATTTTATATTTATTTGAATTGTCACCTTTTTAATATCTTCATTGGACTAGCTTTTCCTTTGTTTCATGAACCCAGTTTCATTTTCGAAAATGTAAACTATTGAATGCAGTTTTGCAGTGCCGCTGCGGGAGTTCTAAATCCTTGTTAGGTCCTTATCTCTAAATTAAAAGGCAATCCACCTGGAACTGCAAAAATAAGGTTGCGAGTGCGATTCACGCCAAGTGTCATCCTTACCCTCACCCCGCTAATTGACTACTATTGATTATTAAAACCATTTTGATTCACTACTTTTAACTAATCTGGACATCAGTTTACAATTTTTGATAATGTCTTCTCACTTTGAGTTTTTTTTCATGATGCGAGAATCCTATAATCTAATTACCTTTAGAGAAGTAAAAATATATTTTGTTCTATTCTGTTTTGGGGAAGAAAACTATAAGGAAAAAACAACGGCTTACCCATACTCGTTGTGTCAACAACTTTGTTGTGCAAAAGCTTACTAACCGTATCAGTAGTTCGATTAATTTATATTTTCTTATCACCTACAGATACATATAATGAAAATACATCATCGGCGGTAAGTGTGAAAGGTACAAATTTCTAACGGAGTGGGAGTGATGGAGAGTGATACCTTGTCGGCTCCAACTTTTGAACCGATCTGATTGACTTAATGAAGTTTTATTATTTCGCGAGGGCCATGAAGACTCATAAAACCCACTGGTTATTAAGCACTCACTCCGCTCGTACCAAATAAACTCGTAACTCAAATGTCGTTTACCACACTTATTGCATAATATTCTATTTTAAATGGAATAGACTGAACTTTTGTGACCTATCCACTAACATGAACAGCAAAATCAGTCTTCAGTTTAATACAGCACATACAATGTAAATAACGAGGACTTTCTGCAAGGACTAGATGCCTTTTTACTGAGTACTATATTTAGACACAATTTTTCGGTTGCGCATTTGAATTTCCACTTTTTTCGAGACCATTTATTCCGTAAAGGTACCCCGCCGCAAAAACAAATAGAGGCAATAATTTTAAAAATAGAATTGTTAAACTCTAAAAATATACTGGAAAAATAATTTAGGATTCCTGCATTACATTACTCTTGTAATGCAAAACACAAATTCCCATGTCATAAGAAAAAGGTCAGGTTTTTGTCAGGTTTAAACAAAATGGCGAAATATTACAACAAGAAATAAAGTTAACTCTTTGCAGACTGTATTTCACATTTTTATTTTATGGTATTATACCCCAATATGGGGTATAATACCAAAGACCCCTCCCTTTTTTTATGCAAAATGACTTTAAAACAATTAGTAATTGTAGTCCTTGAACAAAAGTGTTCGTGGACTCCTCTTATCGATGTATAGTTTTCGAGATATCGGTACTCGTTTTTTAAATTTAATAATTTTCATAACAAACACAAACAAAAATCTTACATTTTTAATAAAACTGTTATGGGAGAATTTTAATTATCGCATGATCTTTTAAATGCAAAATTCATTTTTTGCAATGAATTTTATTTTTATTTTATTACATTTCAAAAGTCACCAGTTATCGCACCTCATTTCCGATCTAAAAATCTGGACATTTTTTATATATCGATAGCCAAAAAAAAAACAATATATTTTTCGGACGGTGTAACATAATAATGGGTATTGTGGAGTTTAATAGCTGTAAAGTATGCATAGATCCAGGGTATATTTTAAATTACGCGGAAATCTCTGGATTCATTTGTGCAATACATTCCTTAGTGCGGTACCAATAGAATAACGTTACTAAAATATATTTTGTGCCATCCTGTATGTCCATAATTAAAGAATTTTATTCTACTACAAACAAATGCATAGTTGTTAAATCTATGGATGGTTTTTGGGATGCGATTAAAAACTAAGTGAATTTTATTTATTACTAATGTAAAAACGATAAGTTTATTTAATACAATTATTTAATTTAGATAATAACAAGTACAAAAATCGTGTAGAAAAAAATGCATTGTTTTGATGAATTCGTTTCGAATTTATATAATAATAATAACAATGAAGTTTATTAACAAAGTTATACATGCCAGGGCAAACACAATAATACGCAGCTTCCTTCCAAGGGGAATTTAGCCTAACTAATGGCTCAATAAAATAGGCACTGGAATTAGAAGTGAGAAAAGGAACGCTAAGAAACGAAAAGAACTGAAACATGTTTGATATTTTAAACCTTGAATGTTGGAATCTTGAAAATATGTTCTGGGCCCTATTTACTCCATTTTTTGCCTAAAAACTATTAAAACTACTTGATGGAAGTTCATTTGCAATCTACAGTGTGCCCTACTTTGATAATGTTACGTCGTACTTGCGCATTTAATATACTACACAATAAGTTTGTTTTGAATAAATTATGTACTATTTTCCATACGCTACTCATAAAGAAATAAAGTTTTTAACAAGCCTGTTTTCAAAACATGAGTTTGGTTTCTACATCAAAATTTGTGAGTTTGAGAAGAAAACTCAGTTCGCCGTGCATAAATGCAAATATTTAAAATTATCCTATTTCTAAAAATGTAATTGAAATCCTTTGCCCCAAACGACTCCCAACTGAGTCAGAATGAAGTACGGAAATATCGCAAATTAATTATATTTATTATGTTTATCCAGTTTGTCTGAAATAGGCTAATTTTCAAATATTTCCCGGCTCACAGCTTCCAGAACATAATTTCTTCCCGGATCATTTGTGAACGACACCCGACAGGTAGGACATTCCTTTTTAGTTATTTGTCTATAACAATCTGAACAGATAGAATGACCCCGTGGACAATTGATGATATCCGTTTTCATTTCGTTATAACAAACTGGACATTGAAGAATGCTAATCAATAGATTTTTCTTTGACCCTAGCTCGATATCTTTAGATAAATTGAAATGTACTTTTAATTCATTAAAATGACAATTTTTAAAGATATTTTCGAGGGATGTCTTCTTCCACGCAAACTGTGGCTCGGACATTAGATTTTTTTCTTTTTCCAGCCAAGGTCTGATGATAGATGATTCCCGAAGCTCGATAGAATTTTTATTGACATAAAGCGTCACGCAAAAGCTATGATCCAACTTGCCAATGAGAAGAGAAGACACTTTGATGCCTACGGCATCTTCATAGATAAAAATGCCAATCAGGAAAGTGTTTTTATCGAATTCACTTAAATATATTGTGGAAGTATCGGGTAATGATAGCTCGAAACTTCCAGATTTAATGATTTTATGGTTTTCGCTGAAATGCTGACCAACTCTTCGCACTTCCATAACATCATTGCATTCCAAATGTGGACAGACGATGGGTCGAAATTCGCATACTTCTTCGTGGGCGAGGACCTGTTCCCATTTTAGTCGCTCATTACAATTTTTGGATAAGCTGCACGGAAACTGTTGAACTTTCGCCAGGTTTTCGTAAAGTTGGTTTCTAGTACCCGTTAGGTGATACGAAGTGCATCTTCCGCATATGTTATTGACTTCATCGATCGTAAAAATCGGAGGTACTGAGAGGTATTTCTTACACTGCGAACATCTCAAGCCTTTCCACGCTGTAATATCAGAAAAAACAGTTTATTTCAAAACTGTTTTAACAACTTATTTATGTATAGAGGGTGTTCAATAGTGTTAAACATTTATTATTAATTTTAGAAAAAAATGTTAAATGCAAAAGTTATGGATAAAACTAAAAGGAGCAATTCAAAAAAAATATTTTCAAATATACAAGGCGATTCATAAAGGAGTTGGGAACCAAACTTATATTTTTTAAATGGAACACCCTGTATATTATTGCATTAATAGATGCTCCCTTTTATACTCAATCACCCAATGTAGGGTTTTTCGTCAAAAAAAGAATTTTAAAGCAGAACAATCCTTTATCCTTAATACTTGTCTTGAAGTTACTTCGAATTGTTTGTGCAGTGTGAGTCAAAATGAAAAATATTAATTTTCGTGAAAAAATCAAATGGAACAATCAAAAACAACATGAAATAGAGGATAAGAGAAACCTTTCAAAGTGCCGGTCATGAAATGCTAGCGATACTGCCCAATCATTTAAAGACCGTGTTAGAACATGTATTGCTTTGCAGTTTTGTTCTTAATTTTTGAGTATGTTTTTCTGGAATTATTAGCAGTGTTAATATTCCAGTTTTATTATTATCCCTAGAGCAAAATACTGTTGTTTTAATCTCGGATTTAATATTATCGGAAAGAATTGTACTTAATTCATCTCTGTAGACTTTTCACGTTCAGGCAATATTTATTTTGTTCTCAATTTTTCGTGATATTTTCGCACGGTTTTAAAACGTGCTCTTAAGATCGTATTTTTTAATGATATTTTAGCCTTCCGGGAATATAAATAAAAATTTAAAACTATTTTAGCCTTCTGTATCACGAAAATTAAGTCCAAAAAGGTTCGACAATATGAAATATCCTTTTTTGTTGATTTCATAAGCAGTTACACGTACGTACCTTGAAATAAAATCGCTGAGTCATCCACGCTGGATGGTTCGTTCTTACTTTGCTGAGCCCCTAAATTTTAAAACTTTAGTAAAATTATGATTTTATCCAGTGCGTGTCGCGCCCAGAGTGGCCAAGTGACTCTATGTTTTTAGTACACAACTAAACACAGAGACTCGGGTTACGATCTTTGTAAAAGACTTTTGGCCTAAATGCATCAAAACTGAGATGTTTCAAACAGAATAGAAGTATGCATGCGTAACCAAGTCAAATAATGGATACGACTAAGTTAACATCAATACACTTTTCTTTCTAAAGGAATTGACATTTCGTATGCTATCTTGGTTTTAAATTCTGAGTTATTTTATTTTATAATTTATATTACAAAAAGAGATACGTTATAAACAGTGGCATTATGGATTTCCACATGTACGTATGGTGTGTCTCAAAGTATATCGTTTGGGGTTTTAACACATTTGGCCAGTCATATTTGATTTGGTGCAATAGTTTTCTTTCTTTCCGCTTTCTAGAGCAACAGCATTGGAATATAAAAATAACAACTTACCCATCTTATTTGTACAGCAATAATGTTAAGCAACAAACAATAGCTCGATCGACAGAGTGAAATTATGTCCACATTTGTATTTTCTTATCACAAACAGATAAACGCCTATGGGAATACCCTAACATACACGAAACTATACAAAACACCTTTTATCGGTACTTGAGAATTATATCACGTTTCAAATATACTAAAATTCCGTTTTTAAAGTCTCATCGACTAATTTGATCGACATCAATTTCTAAAGATATCTTTTCATTGATTAAAGGTCCGGTAATTATATATATATATATATATATATATATATATATATATATATATATATATATATATATATATATATATATATATATATATATATAATTACCTATAAAATGGATCAAAAACCCCTAGTGCCCACGAACGTTCTCACCAGCACCCAATTGCCGAAATCAATCAAAATAACTCGCAAAAATCTTCTTTACAAGAAGATATCTCGTTTGACGTCTTTGACTACCAATTTATCACATAAACAGCTTTCTTTAAGAGTCTTGCAAATATTACGACGAAACCTTGTAGTTACCAAGAAGAAGCTGCTCAAGTCACAACATCGTTGTCATTTCTGTGGTCTACTTTACTAGACACCAAATGCATCTATTCAAGAATTTGGTGTGCAAATACTTATAGTTCAGTATAGACAGTATTCGAAACGACCATCAGTTAGGTTTTAAGCTTCGTAGGTGAGGGAAGGAAATGGTTTAATGTATGTCAGGCTCTATCGAAAACGGACGATCACAATATACAATATAAAACTTTCTTGGAACGGATAGAAATCAGTTTATTATTATTTACTTATTTAGTTATTATTATGTTTCGCGCAAAATTTGGGGTCGAATTTCCAATATTTCCCGTCTCAACGCTTCCAGCGGGTAATTTCTGTTCTGGGAGTTGAAGCCGTTGCCACAGGTAGGGCATACCTTATTGTAACCACAACTTGGCAGGTTATTATAACAACTTGAACAGATAGAGTGGCCCTTATTGCAATTGATGATTTTATCTAATTTCATCAACTTGAAACAAACTGGGCATTCGAGGCAGCTTAACAATAAATCTTTCATTAGCCCTCGACCGTTTGACTTATTAATATAACAAATATCGAAATGAATTTTTAGATATTTAAGCTGATCATTTTTAAAGATATCTGCGAGGGATTCCTTCTTCCACTCAAAATCTGGCACGGACACTGAATCTCCTCGGGCAAAATCTTTATCTGGAAAATATTTGATCATCTCTGATTCCCCAAGGTCGATGGAAATGTTATTGAATTCTAGCACCACGAAAAAACTTGCCAACTTGTCACAGAGACCAAACACTTTGATGGATACGCTATCGTTATCGATAAAAATGCCAACCACGAAACTGTTGTTATCGAATTCGCTTAAATATATTGTGGAAGTATCGGGTAATAACAGCTCGAAGCTTCCGGAGTTAAAGATTTTATGGTTTTGGCTGAAATGCTGAGCAACTTTTTGCACTTCCATAACATTCACAAATTCGCATACTTCTTCGTGGTCGAGCACCCGTCCCCATTCCAGTAGTTTATTACAATTTTTGGATAAGCTGCATGGAAACTGTTGAATTTTCGCTAATTGCTCGTACGTTTTTGTTTCGGATATGCGTATCTTCATCAGAAATGGTACATCTTCCGCAAATATCTTCGCCATTCACTGAGGTATAGATCGGAGGTACTGACAGATACTTCTGCATTCGTGCATTTTAAATCTTCGGGGACGACCCTTGCCATTTCTGGAATGCCAAAAAAAAGTTTGCATCAGCGCTTAACATGGTAAAAATCGAAATATGGGCGTTTTAAAGTTTTTTAAGTCATAATCTTAGAATATATAACACTAATATACAGAGTGTTGGTGTGGCTTATATAAAGCCAACCATTAGGGAGAACTCTTCAGTCTAAGCATTTTAATTCAAAAATGCTGAGACAAGCGAAAAGATGTCCATCTATGCTTCATAGACTACCAGCATTTACCTGTGTCAAATATGCACGGAGTTTCGAACAAGCCAAAGCCACTTTTAAAAAAATGAAAACCATACTGACTAACCAGAGTCTTAGTTTGCAATTAAGCTCTCCAGCTGTGGATACAGTCAGTTTGAAAAATCTCTTTGATCTTATTGTATCTTTAAAGACTTTGTATACTTTGTATACTCTGCATACTCCAACTTCCTAAAGACTGGTACAGTACACACTGGTACTATCACAAAGTAATTTTGTCAGAAATAGAAACAATAAAGTTTTGGATTTAGTCCTGCATAACACTATCAACAATTGGCCGATAGAACGTGCAATAAATGTGTTAGCTACAATTCATATATCACTTCAATTTCTTAATTCCTTAAATAGGAATTTTACTTTTAAAAAGCTAACTTTCTGCTACGATATATTTTTAAACTTGGACTAGTCATCTCTTTCCTATGAATCGGATGTTGATTCCTCCTGCTTCTTGTTTATGTAGTAGAAGTACGAGTAGTCCCTCACAACTGCAAAATTTTAAATGCCTTAGGTCCAAGACCAAATCTAAAATTAAGTACTCCTATTAAAGCTATTTACTTAAAATTGAATATGACATTAAACAATATCCTAAAAATGTTGGTCGTTTATTAAAAATAAGAGAGAAATTTCAGCTGTACCCATTTTTATCAATTTTATTGACACTGAGTTACAAACTCGGCTAGATATACTCAACTCTTTTGCACTATGTTTTCGACAGTCACTTTCAAACAGGGGTTGGTTCTGTCAACAATTTGAATGCTATTAGTAATTCACACCACTCTAAAAATATAAACATAAAGAAGGTCTCCGAATATGAGCTGCAAAAAGCTCTTAAAGTAATAAAACGCTTGTACTATTTAACTGTGTCTGAGAATTCAAGCCGTTCCTCGTATATCGAAAATGCCTTAAACTATTCCCGTTCACAAAACAATTTCTGTAAAAATTTGTTTTCTTCGTACTTGTCTAACCGCACTCAGTGCGTCTATCTCTATGTTCAGACTTCCTCAGACGTTCCTCGAGGCTCAGTATTGATAAATACTTGGTCAGCTTTTTGATATATGCGGACGTATTTTTATTTTATTTTTTTTTTTAATACGGGGGTCCAGAGGTTTGTGTTACTCTCCAGCGTAGTTTTGGAGCAAATCAAATAATAAATTGGAAGTATAACGTAATCTTTTTGCCACCATGAGTGTAGCTGTCAAATATAACTTTCATCTCCTTGATAAAACTCTCTCTTTTCCTAACACTTTTTCTCAGTTTGGAAGTAGTATTCGACTGGAAATGATCCCTTTGTTAATAAGGTACTGGCAGTTGAGGCTTCTGCCACTACTTCAAAAATACATAAGTGATAAAAATATCACCTAACTAAGGTCTAAGTTAGAGTATGCATCAGTATGGTTGGTCTCATGGGTACAATTGTCATATTAATAGACTGGAGAAAAATCAGCGAAAGTTTTGGAAGTATGTACGGTAAACGAAGTATATGATTGGACGGAGTATATCCCCCACAAGGCTTTTTACATGAAATATTAATAAATAGATTTGGTTAGGTGTCTCTTAGTATTCGCTATGATTACCATTATTTAATGACTTTATTTAGAATTTTAAATAACTTGCTTAATTGCTCTGACCTATTATATAGACGAAATTTCGTTGTTCCCCGTATTAACTCTAGGCACAGTAACACACTCTTTCTATCCACATCAAGAACAAATATATTAAACCTTTCACCTATTTTCTCAATGTGCTCCAAATACAATGCTCGAATCGATCTTTTCGCAAATATTACTAAGGTAAAACCGTTATTGCCTATTAACCTATAATTATTGATTTCATTCTTTTCCTGATCTCTTTTTTCTATTAACGCTAGCTCATGTTAGACTAGACTTTAGGTTAAATTTCGTAATATCTTCATTCCTTGCAATGCCTCTGGAACTGTTTAATAATTTGTACTACAATCTACCTGTTAGTTGGATTCGTCCCTGTTAGATAGACCTATTTAAATAAATAAATAAATAAATAAAGGACGTTATCGTACGTTTACTCAGTAGGCTAATACTTATAAACCGACTTGAAATATTTGAAATGTGGATATCCAGAAGACTACAGAGAATAGTACGGATGGAGCATACCAGAAACATTGAGGTTCTGAAACGTATAGGAACTGAAAGCGAATTGTTGCAAATAATTAAAAGAAGAAACCCAGCTTATCTGGATTATATATTTAGAAACACGAAATACGAATTCCTGAAGCTAATCATGGAAGGAAAGATTGAGGGAAAACACGGCATCAGAAGGAAAAAGTATTCAAGGCGTAAAAATATTAAAAACTGGACCACAGCTTAGTTGTATTTATATTACCAGATTTTTTTATGACTTCGTCTACGAAATAAGTTTCTCAAAACTTCAACAAGTTGTCTTTTTACTAATATCGTCAAAATAAAGGTCATGCTGACTAAGTTTTTTCGCTAAAACGCTGTGTTATCATCAAAAATTACGCTGTCTGGTGGGATATTTGAAGGAAGAAAATCATGTACCCAATTCTCAGAAAGGTTACTTGTCACGTGCTGATGGTTGTCTAATGAGCAGTCTTTAATGTGTTGAATGGATATTCTTTTTCCTCTAGAAGCAGGTGCATTCAAAATATAGTTCGACGAAGAATGGTTAGGTCTCATTAATTCAGCTGGACTCGTCAATATTTTTAAATCTAAATCGGATTTTGGGTTATAAGATGTGAGAAAATACTGTGTAAAAATGCCGCATCCAAACATGGACGATCTGTCAGCGGTCATGTTGTTTGTTGAAAGCAGCAAGGACTTATGGTTCCAACGTCAGAATTTGCCATTAAAGCTGCCATTGGTTAAAAACGAAATTTTAAATCTCGCGCATGCGCACGATGAATGGACTTTCTCAAAAAAATGGTACATAGTTGCTTCACGAGTTCCTGTACTGTCAGCATAGGTAGGGCCTCTATATGTCCAGTAGCTAGTCTAAACATACCATATAAAAAAAATGAAAAAAAATAAAAATATCTCGGCTCGGTGCTCGGTGACTATACAGGTCTCGTTAAAATATTCCCCGTTGTCGCGGCTGGTCACTAATCTCCCTATCTACCTTTTAATACGAAAAGTAATTATGTATAAAGGCACCAGGTGCCAAATAGTTATTTTATCTGTACCCGTATTGTTAGTGACGTTGGGTATTAACAACCCCCCCACCCCGAATAAAGCACCATCTTGCCTATAAATTTGACGGGCGAAGCAGAAGTTTTATACCTGTTTTAAGCTACGGTTGTATACAGCAAATTCTTGCGACCGTTGGTGGTGTTTTATAGTTCTGGTGGACCTGAGATATATCAGTTATGGTGGTTAATATAGTGGGAAAAGTGTCTGAACTTAGTGACATTTATTTATAGGACGCGTGTTAGAAGCAAAACCGATAAAAACCGCTACGTGGGAGTAGCCGGGCATAAACAGATTATAGTACTGTTTTGTCCTTGTCTAATAATATCTGCTTGGAATTGTGTTGGAATTTATACACCCAGAATAATGCTGAGCGCCATACTTCGAATAAATATCGCAGGTGTGTTTTATGAAAGGCACCTTTTTGTGCCAGGATTCCCCCCCGAAGTCATGGCTCATATAAGATTTCTCTTGGAACACCCATATTTGAAATCATTGTTTGTAGGATATAATGTATTACGTGTATAGCAGAAATGTAAAATATTATGTGGTTTTAGTTAATTTAATATATATGTTTTTTCCTGGTTCAACTATGAGGCCTGGGTTTCCACTGCGCTATTTTTGTGATATTTCTGATGCTTTAGTCACGGGATTGACAACAAAAATTAAATGAACTGGTGTTGGATTGAGTCGGTTTGGGTTTATACAACGTGTGCAAATAGTGTGTCAAAGTAATATATCTCGTTTATTATTTGTTTTAGAGAAAATTATTTTTAAATGTACCGGGTGTTTCACAAATATGTGGGAAAACAATAGTTTTAAATGGAACATCTTGTATATTTTGGTTTTAATAGATACTCCCTTTTAAACTCAATCGCCTAAAGTAGGATTGTTATGGTCTATACCGAGTGTTTTTGGATTTATGGCTATTTTTTCGACGTAAAGGCTTAATAAAATTGAAAGAGCATTAATAGGAGTAATTGATGGAAGTATAATTTATAGGGCGTTCCATTTGATTTATTAATGAAAATTAATATTTTTCATTTTTACTCATCCTGTATAAACGATTCGAATTAACTTCAAGACAAGTATAGGATAAATGATTGTAAAATTGAATTGATTGAAAGCAAGTACTAATTACTCTGTGAAAACATTCCACCTCAGCCAATCAAAACGATCACCAATAACCCAAAAGGTTTGGGACTCGAGACAAATTTACTTTGATCTAAGTTCAGTATCGATGAAAAAAAATACTGAGACCCTTAAAAGATGTATTATTTTAAAGTTTCATCACACAATTTTTGATACAACAACATAAGTAGCGTGCAACCCTAATAACAAAACAGCAGCATTATATTGCGTTAGAAATATGGCGGTTCTTATTTTTTTATCTTACTTTACTATTTATTATAAAATCACCTTCCGTATGTATTTTTATTTTTTTAAATTAGTAGCAATGGAAAAAAAATTCATAGAAGGGTTCATCATAAACTTTTTGGTTCCCATTCTTCTTTCTCATAAAACTCACAAATTTCTAAATTAACAATAAAATGTGCAGCATTGCATATCGAATGAAATTATTTTAGAAAAATAATTTAATTGGATGCTGTCAAACAGTTGTATTTTGTACCAATATTTATCAGTTATATTCTAAACAATTACATACAACAATTAATAAACATTTTTCATACTAATTCATCTATTCATGCGTAAAAAAACATTTTATATAAATGAATAATAAAGCCTAACGCAAAACAAAAATATAAATTTTATTTATTATATATTATATATTATTTTGTGTTCTGTTAAAAATAGTACATTATAGATTATATAGATACCTGCATTTATTTTATATTATTATTTATTTTCGAGCCCCTAATACTCTCGAATGTGCCTAGATATTTTTTATCATAACAATACGTAATTATACGATTTATTAGGTCTTCGTTATCCTGTACTAGGGTGGTGTAGTACGAATAAGTCTAATCTTTCATCCTTTTATAAATGTTTAATTAAATTACACGTATTTTGTATTTACCCTAACTGAGCAATGCCATAGAAAGCAATAATAAGAAACCCCTTAAGAAGTTAAGTTAAGATTCTTTTAGCTTACAATTTCTTTTTTCTCGTCATGTTGCTTCGGGTTCATTTTTTTATGAAAAAATTGCAGATCAAAAAGTTTCTAATATTAAATTTAGTTAAGAAAAATGATGGAGTATTCTAATTCAATCACCCTTTAAAAAAATATGCAGAAAGTGTGTTTTTATAATAATAATTATACTTCCTTAATATTTTATTCTATCTATTTTTGTTCTTAAGATAAAAAATTAAAACATTATTTTTCCACCCTATTTGTAGCGCAACTCAACGTTAATATAACAAACTACCAGCACTCCTTAAATTTTTCTTTTTTTTGAAACATCCTGTAGATGTTATATGAAAAATTTGTTTCGAAAGATGATGAGTAATAATGATCGTTTAATGAAATTTGTGATTTCCATTTTAACGGCAGTGAAGCCATCGGCGTCCTACTCTTTTCCGTAGGGCGGCACATATCTGACCTTTGTCACTTTTCATTGCAGGGAGCAACAACGTCCAACCTGGTCTACCCGGCACGAAACCGGACTATGTCTACATACCCCTGAAGGGCCCACCGACGTCGGACGCGATCCGTAACAATAACAACGCCGCCCCTGTATCATCGAAACCGCCCCTGCCCAAACAGCCACCACCTAGGGTGGTCCACGCAAGTGTCAAAAAATCCGCGGCTGCGCAGAACCCGCACTTCGGCGTAGGTGTCGACGAGCGACGCCGACGGCGCACTATCGATTCGGCATCCGTGACCGTCGCGACGTCCAAGCGGGACGTGGGGGACGGGGTCGTGGGCATCGCCGGTGATGCTTCCATGGAAGGTCCCATGGGGCTTATCGAGACCGATCTCGACACGGAGGTCACGGTAAGTCAATGTACTTCGTTTAAGCACCGCGTATTTCGTCGTCTACTTGATACGAAAGTGGAGTTTAAGTGGGTTTTATTAAGTTAGCTGGAGGACCTGTCACCCTTAAAGGTTATGTTGTTTATTAATATCACTTAAAGTTAAAGAAACTATTATATCACATTCTATACCTTTAGGCACCAGTAGTCATATTAGGTATTAATTAATTTGATAATTATTAGCATTGAGGGTTTTTACTTATTAAGTAATGCAACGTCAACGTCGATAAATTTTGATCCTAAGATTTAAATCGCGTTTTACTAAATATTCGACATTATGTTCAATTCGCTATGCCATATTTTTGTAATGCTAAAGAGTTAGAAATTATTATTAAACTCTAAAACTTAGTGATCTTAATCCTATTCCATAGGCGTAGTATTGCGACCATGATGAGTAGCAAGAGTCCAAGTGGCAGCCAGTAGACATAGCCTTAGTGTTTAAAATTAGAATTATAGTCCCTTTCAAAGCTCGTTTTTGAAAATGGCTAGCGGCGTTTCTATATTTTTTTTCTTAAAAACGGATGAGTTTTCAAAAAATGAGAAAATTATTCTCAGTGTGTTCAAACTGTTCCAAAAATAGTTGAAGAGAACTACAGAATGAAAAGAAACTGTACAATGTACAAAAAAATGTTTATTACAACTTATCTTTTTTCATTCCTTTCCTACTTCCGTAAAAGTTTTTGTTTTCTTGGTCTTAGAAAAAAAATATTTCATATGTCTTTTATTTTTCTAAGAAACTACTTTTGTAGTAACGCCGCTGGAACATTACCTTCATTTATCAAAGTCGTCTTTCTAATTGTATGCAAAATTTAGAAACGATTCTAGGTGTTTTATAAACAGAAATCACTGCAATTTGCCTGAACTTAATGACATAAGTTGTTTACCCTTTTTAATGATCCCTGTCATTGGAAATTTACATTTTATTACTCTCTGGCATTAATAAATTAAGTATAATTACAACTGAGCGAATTTCGCGATTATTCACGAACTTTTCTTTTTTGGAATAATTCAAGGTATTTTCATTATATTTTGGCTTAAAAAATATTTATTACGCTATTAAAAGGGCATTAAAATTTTGTTATATATATATATATATATATATATATATATATATATATATATATATATATATATATATATATATATATATATATATATATATATATATATATATATATACATGTTTTTTATTTTTCCCAACTTCGTGGTATACAAAGCTGAATGATTTGATATCATTCGTCACCTGTAATCTGAGAAGTGGTAAACTTAGAAAAACAATTAAACAAAAAATTTGCAAAATATTTACTTTATACTCTGCGGGATTGCTTCCGCAATATGTTGTTAAAGCACGAATGCGCAAAGTATAGAAAATGGTATGATATAACGTAATGCACGAGGTATTCGCGTTTACCAGACAATAAACAATAATTACGCGCCTCAATCTATTAATTATACCGGTGGCAATTGATGGTTATTATAGGGTGACCTGAGGCGCAGAAAATTAAAAAATATATATTTGGATTAACGTAAAAACGACGCTGTGCTTGAACCAAATACTCTGCGCACACGTTACAAAAGTACGCCTCCAGCAAATCAATTACCTTTCTCATGTTCTCTCTCAGGAAGACACAGGAAAAGTATGAGCCTAAAATACTAAAGTTATATTTCACACGAGGAATATATCGAGTTTAGTGTTGATTTTGTTTTGGTTATGTCCTGTGAATTAGTTTCCTGTTAGGTCTTCTTCTAATTTACCAATGATCAAAACTTCCATTAATTCCAGAAGAACAAATCGCAATATGGATAGAATTAACACAAATATAATGGAGAGAGTACAAAAAAAAACTGTCAACGGTTTATTTATAGAATAAGAAAATATGATCCTGACTTTACATTAAAAGGAAATTAAAACAAAACTTTTTTAGTCAACAAGCACAGCGCAGATGATGTTTGAGTTTAGTTTCGAGATTTTCTAGCATATTTTTGACTTTTTTCTTTTGCATATATTTTGTACCTTAGTATTTTACTATAATTATGTATCATTTCATATCACTTTGAACAATTTTTAATTGCTTTCATCTCCTTTTCTGTCATTTACCTACTTACAATATCTACTGTATATTGACTACAGCAGAATAAATATATTATTATTATTATATTTCTGTGGAAAGCGCAAAATAATATCGCCGTCACTGCTGTTGGTTTTACTGCCGATTTGATTCATACGGCTATTGGCAATGGTGGTTACGATGACATGCCAAAGCAAACTCGTGACTAAAGTGGCGTTTACCTAATTTTTTGCATTATTTACGATTTATCAAACTGCAAATATTGATTTAACGAACTAAAAAAAAAACAAAATAAGCTACAATGTTACTTATTTATATCAGAGTTTTGGTTAGACATTTTCTTTTTCAATATCGCTAAGTGTAGCCAGTGAAACCAAATCCATGCAGACACCTCAAATAAGCGGATGTTTTATGTGAGACTGGGAAACAATACTGCACAAAAAGTGTTTTTTTTTTTAAACGGGGAAACTTGGAATTGACAAAATGTGTTTTAGGAATTATGCAAAACTTTAAATTCTATTATCATGGGTTGATACTTAAGCACATTTTATCAAAAATTTATAAAGTAACATCTTCAGAGCTAATTAAATGCTCATTATTACATTAAAGGCGACAATTCTACATCGATTCAGTGGGATACAGAAGACTATCTTCCTTAGTATTTTTATTCAAATGGAAGGATGTGGCAAAGAAATAAACCAGAATTTTTTGAATATTATTCACGTTGAAATTCAAAATTCAATTGTTTTTCAATTGTTCAGGTTTCCATTTTCATTGTCCTGTTTAATTCTACGTAATGAATCTATGAACGTTTATTTATAAATATGGCTTAAAATTTCGTAGTTTCATCAGCGGAACCGTGAGTGTCCGCTTATGAAGTATCACTATATGAGTTTATAAGTCGCGCCCACAGATAAATTTTGACTCAGCGAAAAATATAAAAAATAGGACAAAATAGAACTACATTTTATTAACCTTAAAAATAATTACAATCTTTCCTATTTGCTTATTAACAACTGTTGTTAACAACAATTGTTGGACAGTTTTGCTTCGATGAGAAATCTGCAAAGTTTGCATCGATTGATCGATTTATTTGGAAGCAATTCGATTCAACACGTGGCGTTTAAATTTGTCCAGTTGTTGAGAGCACGTTTCTTGTAAACATATGAAATTTGACACATTCCCGTACGTCAATTTTTTTACTTACCAATCATTTGAACCTTTGTAGAACTACAATGAACAAATGTTTAAAGGTTAAAATGGAATTAGAGAAATTCTATTTCATGAGGATCCATATGACGTAACTTTTTGAGAACTGTACAATACTAAGAAAAAAAGGTGTTTCCAAGAGATGTGCGAATGACAAGACCCGTTTGAGAAACTGAATTTCAGCAAAGGTGTTTATAGGAAATGCAAATTTCTGAGCTATCGTGTAGAATAATAATAATAATTTGCCCCAGGTAGGTAGTTATGTACGTTTTTTAATGTTGATTAGCTCCTAAATTTGCTATATTTATTGAAAAATATTTCAACTTTGGTTCGAGAAGTCTTTACACGATCGATTGCTTGTCGACTTAAAGCGCCTTGAAAATCAACTTTATTTTGTTTTTAATAGAATAGAAATTAATGTTTATTAGAAAAAAAGAGTCACGTAATCTTTATAGACAATTTGACGTTCAGGCGGGACAACCTGGCGACCTTGCTGTAAGCGACATTAACTACCCTAAATTAAACTAGATAAACTTTAACTCATTAAGTAAAATATTAAGTTAAAACTGACAATACGTATCAACATCTCTCACCAATATCTTTAGTAAAATCAGTAAAACCTAAAGCATCCCAAGATTACATGGTATTTACACGAACAGAGAGATGAGAGACATACAGAGTTTTTAGAATATATTTCAAAAACCAGTTTCTTAAACCAGACCTATACCAACATTTGCAATACGATCCCACTGAGTTACATCACAATGGAAAGCAGTAATTACAGATTCTTCACACTTTAATGTCATCGAAAAATATCTACTAGCAATTATGATCGCCAACCTCGAAAATTAAATTCACTAATTGTAATAGCACCATAGGTTAAACTAGCAACAAGATTAATAAAAATTTTAGATTCTGACACTGCCTTCAAACCGAAATTTGCTTAATTTAAATCCCCTCAATGCTATTCCAGTTTCTTTTGACGTCCAAAATCTATATATCAAAATAAATACGAACTAAAAGTTCAGATTTTCACGAAATTATATATTATGACATGACAATTGTTTCAACAACACCGTGTCTTTATCAAATGTAATATTTACAAACTACCTGCTACTATATATACCGAAAAATGACCATTAAACCTTAATTAATGTCGTTGCGAGAATTTAAGTTCAATAAAGGAGAGGTATTTAAATCTAATTGATCGTTAAGCAATACATTTGAATGTCTCCTTTTGTTAATCTCCATGGCTACTAATAAATTTAATTTTCTACTTTTTGTGGCTATGTGTAATATATCAAAAATTGTCGTCAAAAATGTGTTTTTCTGTGTTTAAGTGTGTAACATAATTAGAATCTAGACTATTGTTTTTAACCGCTCTTATATGTTCATTAATGCGTTTCTTGAAGGATCTACCTGTTTGTCCAATATAAATTTTAGGACAAGATCCACATTTCAACCTGTAGACCCCTGATTTTTGGAATTTTGGACATTTCGATTTATTGTTTTTTAAATATTTCCCTATTGTGTTGTTAGTTCTGAAAGCTATATTTAAACCACATTTTGACAAATGTTTTGAAACTTTTTCGCTAGGTTCTGCTATGTATGTAATTGTTTTAAATTGTTCGTGTTCCGAATTTGGTTTCGGATAAATAGAGTTTACTGTTGTCTGTATTTGTTTTTTATTTATAATTTTATCTATAATGGACGGATTGTAGCCGTTGTTCAGTGCTATTTGTTTAATGATATTAAGTTCTTTGTTGTAATTTTCTGTTGAGAGTGGCGTATTAAGAAGTCTGTGTATAAAAGAGTTAAATGCAGCCATTTTGTGTGTATAAGGGTGATTTAAGCTGTTATGTATGACTGTGTCCGTGTGTGAAGGTTTATGATATATTGAAAAATCTAATTTGTTTTCCGTTTTCGTAATAGTTAAGTCTAAAAAATTAATAGAGTTATCCTGTTCAATTTCGATAGTGAATTTTATACGATTATGTATTGAGTTAATGTAATTTAAAAAAGAATTCAATTGTCTGTCCGTTCCGACAAAGCAAGCAAAGACATCGTCCACATATCTTTATCTTTGCTTAAAATTATAAATAAAAAACAAATACAGACAACAGTAAACTCTATTTATCCCAAACCAAATTCAGAACACGAACAATTTAAAACAACATAGGAGAACCTAGCGAAAAAGTTTCAAAACATTTGTCAAAATGTGGTTTACATATAGCTTTCAGAACTAACAACACAATAGGAAAATACTTAAAAAACAATAAATCGAAATGTCCAAAATTTCAAAAATCGGGGGTCTACAGGTTGAAATGTGGATCAAATCCTAAAATTTATATTGGACAACCAGGTAGATCCTTCAAGAAACGCATTAACGAACATATAAGAGCGTTTAAAAACAATAGTCTAGATTCTAATTATGCTACACACTTAAACACAGAAAAACACATTTTTGACGACAATTTTGATATATTACACACAGCCACAAAAAGTAGAAAATTAAATTTATTAGAGGTCATGGAGATTAACAAAATGAGACATTCAAATGTATTGCTTAACGATCAATTACCTCTCCTTTATTGAACTTAAATTCTCGCAACAACATTAATTAAGGTTTAGTGGTCATTTTTCGGTATATATAGTAGCAGGTAGTTTGTAAATATTACATTTGATAAAGACACGGTGTTGTCGAAACAATTGTCATGTCATAATATATAATTTCGTGAAAATCTGAACTGTTAGTTCTTATTTATTTTGATAAATGGATTTTCATCAAGTAAAAGCCACCTCAGTTCAATCTATATATCTCATCTTTCGCTGTAATGGGCATAATACTATTCTTACAAACAACAAACAAAATTTAATAGATAGTTTAATAGTTTGTTTACACCAAAAATTATTTTGAAGTTAATGACCAATTTTGCATTTCTAAAAAGGGATTAATTGTGGGAAACTCGCTTTGTCTGCAACTTGTAGAGATTGTAGAGAAACATTATATGTTAACTTCTGAGTAAAACTTCTTTGGTAGTATAGATATGGCAAAAATATCATTTTGCCCGAATCACTGGAACTGAAAGATCTATTGGAATCATATTAACTCGCTACATAAAATTCACTATCGACACAAACCCTCATGAATACATAATGATTCATATCTCCTTGCACAGACAAAATGGCTTCCTTCCAATGTTTTACTTACGGACTGTTTAATGTACTACATTCTGCATAAATTTTTGAAAAAGAATTAAGTATCATAAAACATATAGCTTTTAATAATGATCACAATCTATCTTTGATAGGTAAGATTGAACGAATTTTAAATAACTCTGAACTCTATTTCCCCATATTAAACACCCATCCCAAAGTTTATAAAACAATAATAAATATACGTAGCAGAGCCTAGCAAGAAAGTTTCGAAACAGCTCTTTAAATGTAATGTTAAGATGACTTCTAAAACTGAAACTATAGGTAATATTTAAAAAACAATAAATATAGTAGATAAAATTAAAATCTCTCATTTCATCATGCTGGAAATAATGAGAAATTAATAATCCAACCAATCCAGTTAGTATTCTACCCACATTCTCAAAAATTATAGAAAAAGTAATGGAATTTCAATTAGCAAAATTTGTCAATGAAAATGTGTGAAAACTTAATTTTTAAAAATTAATATATAAGTTACAGACATATTATACCATCACTAAAAAGAAATGCCCTGCTTATCTATTGAACAAACTTTTCCAGAAAGGATTTGCATTCATGTTGGATGAAATAAAGTAATTTTAGTTAACGTTTTTGCTGCTACCATCTATTCCCATTTCACCTCTTTATTTTGAATTATGTATACCTTAGTTTAATGACTTGATTGTAATACTACAGATATTTTTGCCACACTTTGTCACAGGAATATTTTATTTTGTTACTGTAATATTGTTTATACAATTTATGATTATTATGTTCTAAAAATAATATCGGAAAAACGGATAGGATAAAAAAAAATGAAATTAATTTAAATGAGTTATTCGAATTTGTTACTTAAAGACCAATTTTATTGAATTTGAATAGCTCTACGTTGCTAAACCTAAATTTAAAATGATATTTATAGAAATCGCAAAATTGCAATATTTTGTATTTGATAAAGGCAATAAATAATTTGTGTTTATTTGTTTCATTCCAGGTAATCACCAATGCGAAAGCGCGAAGTTTATTAAACTTGGGGCCCGAGCCCCGCCTAACCGTACCCCCCAACCATCGCGAGGGGGACAGCAAAAGTCACCCCGGACGGCCCCACAAGTCGATGGAATTCCTACTGGACAAGGAAAATTTAAAAGTCGTCGAGGTGAGCTGTGGTATTATTTCCGTATATGGCAGGCCATTGATTTTTCCGACTGCATAATAATGCTCTTTCCCGTTCCGCCCCGTCAGTTTTTATGCATAAATTTTAATTATAACTTTATTTTCCCCTGCGTTTTACGCCTATATCGGGAGTTTTCACGGGCATGCTCGTGCCGGAGACGACAAAGGCCTGCCACGTCGTAGGCTCGAACCCGTCGTGACTCTTCCGCGTTCCTTGGGATCGGCTTTTTCTTACGGAGGTTACAAAACTATACGGTAGACATTTATGGCGAAGTGAGATTTTGGATGGTATTGAAAATTTGACCGTTTAGAGAATCGAGGACAATCTATCCATAGTTTTTAGCGAAGCGACGCTTATTCGAAAGAGTAGCATCAACTTTTGATATTTTCATTTTGACACCCTGTATATTATTAGATGTTCCGCCTCAACATCAATTTATGGGTATTTTTGTATAATGTTTATTTTCTCTACTTTTTTGTTCAAAGCGGAGCTCCAATTAAATATTTATTACAACCATTTTTAAATTTCAAAAAGAATTTTTTTCAAATTTGAGTTCATATATTTATAAATTATTCTGGAAAGCTTAGTGTTGTGGTGTTGACCGTTTTTTATGTCAATTGACCGAAATAATTTTAAAAATACAATGAAATTCATTTTTATTTATTTGTAATCTTATAACTAAAAGGAGTGGATATTTTTACTGGGATTCCTAGAATCGCCAAGTATCGTATTCGGGTATTCCTTGAAAAGTGTTACACGTAAATTGAGCATCACAACGATTAAATACTAAATAACTAAAAAAGTTAGTAAAATAATGATAGATATCACTTTACAATTGCAAGACGTCATTTAAAACATTTTGATCGAATTTAACTGGTCAACTGACGAGCCATACCAGAATATTAAGGATCCATAAATAAAAGCAAGTTTTTCGAAAATTTGGAAAGTAAATAATATACAGCTATCCTATTTAAAATATCAAACTTTTTCACTATAAAACGTCTAGCTTGCCACGCACCGCGAATCACCATAAAATTATTGCATAGTATACAGAGCAGTTTAAAATTATTGATTCTGACGTTTATTATTTTAAATTCTAAAACATATTTTTTTTTATTTGATGGTATGCCGCAAGTCTAGCCAGAGGTAGCCTCGTTGTTTAACAATAATTGCTCAATTATTGTGTTAACGTTTGACAAAGTTAAAGTTTTATACCACTTCGTTTGAGTGATTATTTTTAATAAATATTACAAACTTTAAAGCTTTGACACAGCAATTAGGCGTGCTTTTTTAAAATCGCACAGATTAGGTATTTTCTTGCAGGATTTTAAATAATAGACAGGGTGGTCCTTTGTCGTGTCACGTCAGAGTCATTAATTTAAAAGGCCCCCGAATAAACTTATTTAAGTTAATCCAATATACAGGGCCTTCGCAAATTGCAACCCGTTGTTCAGCTTTCTTTAGGCTAGACTAGTATTAATTAAAATTTCATTAAGTGGTATTTTTCAGGAAAAAAAATAATATTGTTCTAAATAAGCATATGCAAAAATAATCAGGAGAAGGCAGCGAACTTAATTTAATATAAGATATCCTTACACTTACGATGATGCCAAATGTTATTATTCGAAACAGCAACACCACATAGGCCAAAATATTAAAACAAAACTATTTTTGGTTCTCAAATAACCAAAACAAAACAAACGTCTAACCCACCGCTGAACATCTTCAGCTTGCTATGTTCCCAAATGTTATTGTTAGGAATGGCAACGCTACGTCATCTAAAGTATGAACAAAAAAATACTTTCGGTTAATGAAATCAAATATTTTAGAATTTGGTGGCCTTTAATGTTTACTTCCTCGATGTTTCAACGGATCAACCGTCTTAGAATAGGAACGCCTTTATTTTTATTTTGGCGAAGGGCGCATAAGAAAACAAAAAACTCCGAAATATGTATTCATAAGTTTCATACAGAAATTATTGCCATTTGAGCCACTTTACAAATTTAGTTGTGGAGCTGTATCTTGTTGTCTTTGTTGAGTCCAAAAACATTACTGCAGACGTTCATTTAAACATAGATAGATTCATTCACTCATAGAAATAGTTAAGGGATCATCCAAAAAACTATAAAAACATAGCTTCCATTTTATATAGCCAGATCTAGAGGTTTTTTTTATAAGGCTCTAAGGGTATTGGACAATTGATCATTGGTCATTCAGTAAATATAGTGAACACTGAAATAAGCAAAACACAAGTTCCTTTTCAAAATACTTATTATACTGCAGTGTCAGACCGAAAATTACACCCTTATACAAATTTTTTGACGAAAAGGTCATTGGTCGTGGTGAACGTAAACTTGAAGAACTTATTGTCATAAAAATCATTAATTTGGCAGAACTTAACTTAAATACTGGTGGAAATATCGTGACGTAATAAGTCGTGCCCCGGGGGGTGGGGGGTGAAGGCCTCGAACGGCGTCCTCCCTTGGTCGATTGATCTATATTTCTAGGGCATTTGGGTACAGCAGGTTTTCCTCATCTAGTCGCCCGACTTTCGCATATCTCATTACATGTTGCGCCTTTTCCTCCGAAGGAAAGCAACGGATAATGCGGTCGTTGCCGTAGTGACTTTGGCGGCCGACGAAAGCCAGGTCGGGAAAATGTTTTACTCCATATTGATATCGGAAGTAAGTGGCGGGTGGCGGTGCGAGGTTAGGTTTTGCGGAATGCGGTTACTTCTATGCGGCAAGTGCGGCAGTTTTATGAGTCGATGCCCATTCTCGACGATTTTCTAAGTAATTCGGCAACTTAACAGTATCATTCTATCATCATTGCAGTATTTTTTGATACGGCAAAATAGGAACATTTTGCAGAGACAAAAATATTTTTATTTTATATTTAAATGAGAGTTTACGTGCCAACCATATTTCAGTACAAAACCAACCCATAGCATAGACCTCATCTGACTTTGAATTTATGTACAGGATGTAATAAAGTTTTCTTGCCCAGCATTACCCTCTCCAATATACTGGATCAAATTGTAAAATAAAACTTTTCTGATGGGTTTATTTTTGTTCGCATGCCCGATAAATTAGGGAATAGAATTAAAAAAGGCGGGTTTAAAGGTAAAAGTAGATTTAATAATATATATATATATATATATATATATTATATATATATATATATATATATATATATATATATATATATATATATATATATATATATATATATATATATATATATATATATATATATATATACTTTTACCTTTAAACCCGCCTTTTTTAATTCTATACAAAAATGATTGCTTTTCATAAATCTTTTTTCAATTTGATGGCTTTGTTTCCATTTTAATAAAAGTTTAGACACAAACAATTTTATCACATCTTTTAGCCGTTTCTCTGATATTTTGGGAAGTTTATCTATACTTAATCTATCCTTAATAACTGACTGAATGTATATTGCACTGCGATGATGATTGTTTGGAAAAATCAACAAGTTCTTTCCTTCTTAAATTAAGATTCCTCAAATTAGGCACATCGCCAGTACCTGCAAACAAATGCAGATACATTAACAAGGGATGATTTGGAATAGCTAGATTTTATTTGATTTCTTATCCAAAAATAGAGCAAACTAGAAAGAAAGGTGATACTAAGCGAATTTTTTTTTAAATTCTAACTTAAAATAGCAATTTTACAAAATTTTTAAGAAACTATTTAAACTTTGCTTCGAAAAGTAGCCTGGCAATAAAAAAAATAATTACACAAATTACTTAGCAGTACATACCTGTATCTTTAAGATCCATCTTAAAACTGCGTAAAATACTATAAAATTAATATAAAAACGAACTGTAATTGTGAAATATTTCGAAGTAATCGTATTTTATCAAACCAACGCAACGATTGTTAGATGGTATTTTACCCGTGACATTTTTCCAGTGCCTTAGAGAACGCTTAATTAAGTGAACTTATTAGCTTTTGACGGTTTACCAGAGTTCTAGTGTTGCAGGAAAACATTTTTATCGTCACCCACAAACAATTCAAATATCATTGCTTGATAGGCCATTTTGAAAGGAATTTATTGGCAATTTCCCAAGAGCAGTCCAAACAGATTTATTTATTTCAGTTTCAGAAAATACTTTTTTAATTTTGATGCATCGTCTTGGATAAAAAAGGACATTTTTTTCCTCCAGCCGTACAGTACAATATTTTTGCGGTTCAGTATTCGCTTTTGTATTTTTTTCTTGTTGGTTGTTGATTAATAAAATTATATTGCCTATTTGTTCGGCAAGTTCTAAAATGTCTAGAATTAAAATAAACTGATGTAGCAATCGTTTTCTTTTGCTTTAACTTTTAGATGATTGGATGATTGATAAGATTCTATGAGCTTTGATCGATTAGTTCGGACATCAAGTTATCATCCATATTAGTCTGCCAATTAGTTTAGTACGTATAGCACGTATAACATTTGATCTGGTACCAGAAAGTGGCCGTTATGGCGATTATTATTCATTATTATTATATTTCTACGCCCTTTAATCATTTTTAATTGTTAAAAAACGCTTATGCAGTCAGTACACTGAGTATGTAGAGCAAATTCAATGTACGTTAGCAAAATATCTTCGTTAAATATCGTACACAAAATGACAAATAGTTCTTTTTTAAACACTGGCGGTATGGTTTTTTGAAAGTGCGAAATTCATTTTCCGATAGTGCTATTACAAAGGCTGATAACAAAAATGCCACAATGTGTATTTGTGCTTAGTATTGTAGACTTCCATAGAACGCTCAAAGGCATGGAATTTGGTTTGCAAATGCAAATATGTGAGATGTGTTTAATTCAACTATTTAAATGTAATTTGAAACATTTTAGTTGGACGTCTTCCAAGATTAGTACATGCACAGACACAGTTCGACATTTCATCTCCAGTTTATAAAGTTCTAAAGTACGCTTGTTCAGTTATACGACAACACGGAAGAGAA